AGTTTGACATTCTCAATGTTTGCACATGTTTCAGCTCGATATCAGTTTTTATTAACGAACAGATTACACAGCTGAATAATAGTCATGATATTCTCATTCTTTTCTTTGTTATTTTATGTTACGAAGAAATTGCTTTTTCAAAAATAATACACATTAACAACCTTAAAAAGTGAAATATAACTATGAAATTTCTAGAAAGAATTACTATATCAGTTATCTTATGTACTAGTATTAGATCACCGGTTTTCAAGACTACCTTTTAGAAGTCGAAATTGAAACCGTTTTTCTTCCCTCTTTACTGACAGAAATCGGAACCGAACCGTCGAATCCAGTTCCGGACATTTCTTAGAATCATCGGTCTCTAATCAATATATCTCGGTAGAACGAGAGCCAGAGAATAGCTAACCGTTTAACCATTACACTAACGCCGGTAGAGCGCAGCGCCTGATACGGGTTAAATTTTTGTGTCTCGATCCGAGTCGAACTCTAATATCAATCAGTTTTCTCTTTTTCTTTAGTAAAATCAATACGTCAATCCTTTTTTCTTCCTTTCATTCTCGTAGTTGGAAACAAAAACATGTCGTCCTTGATATTTCGCCAATATTCCACAGTTGGAATAATATGATTAGGTAATCGGATTTTTTCTTGTTTGTCTTTCTTTCCTTGTCTATACAATCTGCGACCTTTAGATCGTCATTCAACAGACAATGCACTTGTTATACATCGTTATCTGTTATCCGATGTTAATAAAGAAAAGTCGGTGAAGTAGAAGAAAAGACCGTGTAATACATAAGTTCTTGTCCCACTAAACATTTCTACGGTCTCCTACAGAACTTTTAAATGAAAAAAAATAACACTCGAAATACCTTTTGTATCTACAAAATACTCAGATTGCAGATCCACCACGAAATTTAAAAACGTTTTTCGTAATCCTAACCAAATCGGATGATAGTATAGCGTACATGGTATAGAACGATTGACCAGTGATTTTTTTCTGGTTCGATTCAATTGGTTTTTATTGTATAAGAGTTTTTCTTATTATTCCTTAATTATTTTCTAGCTTCTCTTCTTCCACCAGCTGTAAATAGTGGACTTCTTTTTGCTTATGCATTACTGGGTATTTCATTTTCAAATATTGCCGCTGTTCATTCTTCTTCATTAAACAATTCTAAAAAAGAATATTATTCAAATCTTAATTGCAAAAAATATATTAATAATGATTATCAACCACTTTATACGTGTAATCTAGCAAGAGAAGCAGCGGCTCTCGCAGGTTGTAGTTTATTATTAACAATAATTAATATAATTTGTATTATAATAATGGCATTATTAATATTACGAATAAAAGAAGTTGTTCCATTACATCAACCAAATAAAGATATAGTAAATTTTTTTCATTATGACGTTAAAGTTGCACGTGATTATAATAAAACAATCCATGAAGAGGATTTAGAAACAGATAATTTAGCAACATTAACAATTCAACAAAGTCATTTAGCACAATCAATTGTTAATCGTTGGAAAGCATTTAAATCAATAACTTCTCATGATAATCAACAAAATCAAGAAATTCAACAGTCATCATCAATAAACAATGATCTAGAATTAAATAATACTAAAAATAATAATATATTAAATATTGATACAGAATCACGTCGAAAATTATTTCGATTAAAAACATTTGCTATAGAATATGATCTTGATGTATTTGATAAAAATGATTATGATTTATTAAATTCTAATAGTCGAGAAAAAGTACGTTTACTTATCAATGATCTTATTGATATTTATCAAGATATTCCAACTGTATTTGTTGATCTATTTTGTTTACAATCTTGTAATATACAAACATCAACTGATAAAGAACATGTGTCATTTTATCAAGAAATTATTGAAATTTTACCACCTAAATGGTATCAATTATTTATTCGTGAACAAGAACGGCGAAGAATGATGTCTTGGTCGTCACTATTAAATCAACCATATTCATTACGTGTACCACAAATAACTGCTTTTAAAAAACCTACATCAGAATCTAATATATCATCCAAAAGTGAACGTCAAAAACTGCGAGTACGTTTTCGACGACGAAGTTCAGTACCTGAAATAAGTTCTCACGTATCAGAAATTAATCAAGATACTGAAATACCTGTTGAAGGTACACGTTTTAGTATAACCAAACTGTTAACAACTACTTAAATGTTTGAACATGAATAAAAAAGAATTCAAATTTTCATTTCACTTGATAATTTTTTTTGTATCAAATTCTATTTTTTATATATTAAAAAAATATATTATCGTATACTTTATCGCAAACTATAATCAGATGAAATCTATATTTCGATACTACGCAAGAATATATTCTCTGCAAACAATCTCAGTCTTACTATGCCAAAACTAACTTGACAATACAATATGCAAACGGTTATACAATGTCTCCGAAAATTATTCGATCAGGTTTATTTTCAATTTTTGTTCGCCTGCCGTAAATGCTAATACGAATCTAAACAGTGATTAATGTAAACAAACTTTTATTTCCCACAAATTTTTTCGAAGATAAAAATGATTGCTAGTTTTTCAAGAATAAAGTCTCTAAGAAATTGAAATGCATATGTTTCATCTCCGAGAGTGGCAAATAGAATTCTGTTTGAATAACGTCGAATGATAAAACAAACAATGCTCTAGAGAATGAAATATTTTCCAGCTGTCTATAACATTTTTTGACCGAGATATATCAATCTTACGAAGGACACAGAAGACATTTTTTCTGCTATTTCATATAGAAATATCATTTTTATGTTTTCGGTAAGATTGATATATCTCGATCAGAAAACGTCGTAGACAGCTGGAAGACGTTATATTTTTTAGAGAATTCCTTGCTCTATCATTCTTGATAATTCAAACAGAATTCTGTTTGTTAATTTTAGGGAAATGAAAAAATTTTACTTCAATTTTTCAGAAACCCTATTCTTGAAAAACTATCAATCGTGTTTATCTTTGAAAATTGCTGTTGAAAAGTTATTAAAAATAAATCTGGCTTAATCATTTTGGCAGTCACTGTATATAATTCTATGAAGCACGAAACACTATTATAAAACTAAAAGTGATTTGATGAATGTAGAATTATCATTGGTTGTAAGGCAAAGTATAAAGTAGCGTTTCCAGTATAAAGTACCTGGAGCAAGAACAAAGTATTCAAGATATTCACAATTTTTAAGACTTACTGTGTTTTGCACTTTATTGAAAAAAAAAATAATCTACTGTGATACTCTATGAAGTAGAGAAAAAAAATTTGCTTATTTGTTATGATATTATTGAAAAGTTGTTCGTCTTCTTCTTATTTATATATTCGACTTCCAGATGAAGTTATGATGTATTTTTTTGTTCTTTTATTCTCATCAATTTTATCATTGAAATTTCTCTTTTTTCTTGTTTTAGATCTTCAACATTATTTCTTATATATACTTTCTTCGTTAATTCTTTTCCCACATATTAAAGTAGAAACTTCAATCAAAACAATTTTATGATCTTGCTATGAATGCATTTTAGATGCATGCACAAGAACGATGTTAATTTATTTTATTTTATTCTTTATTTTAAATATCAATATGATAGTAAAAATTAATCGAGTGAAGTATTTCTTAAACGTAGTCAGATTAATATATGTGCATTTTTGTCATTATCTGTAAGTTATTTTGTTGTACTGTTTTTTTTTTCTTGCACAGGAACATATATTTTTATAGGCAGATGCGAATAGTTACAGCTTTGTTTTGTGTTTATTGATCAGTTCTTGGCTATGGTATTTTGCTATTTAGAACAAAGTAAGATGCCAGCAATTCAAAATTTCAGAAAAAATTTTTGTTTTCACAGTTACATGGAATTTGTTGAATTACTTATAAAACGATTGTTTTTGACGTATTCAGATGGCGTTTTTATAGTGAAACTTAGGAAAGTTGAGTTTAAAAATCTCAGAAAAGCCAATAAAAATTGAAATACACAAAAAAACGCCTCAAGTCTCAGTAGCCTTAATATTAATCCGAACTTTTGAGCAAATCGATTTTTCGATATGACTGCAAAAAATGTCATAAAAACAGGTTCATGTTCAAATTTTGTTTTCATGATTAGAGCTTGTATACCAACATAAATGAACATCATATTCAGAATCAGCATAAAAATCTACATCGAATGGTATATTTAATACTCAAAACTAATTTTCGTCAAATTTCAGTGCTTACATCTCTTGACTATTATCTTCGAAAAATTTAACCTGTGGTTTTCCTAGGATCAAAATTTAATGAAAATTAGTTTTGAGTATTAAGTATACTATTTGATGCAGGTTTTTCATGCTAATTCTGAATATGAATATTTATTTATTTCGAAACTGAAAATATTGAAGTTATCGAAACTTCCTGCGCTTGACATGTTTCAATTTTTATAAGTTTTTCTAACATTTTTAGGCCAAGCTTTTCCAAGTTTCACCACAAAAACATCGTCTAAAAGCAGCATTTTTGTAGATAAATCAACGAATTCTATCAAACTATGAAAACAAATTTTGCTTAGATTTCAGTTGAAAACCCTACTAGTAAATGTAAAGTGCTTGCTTAGGACAAAATTATGTTGTACTTAAGATCATTACAATTTAAAAGCGGTTGAGTTTTACGATAGTTAATCATCGACATTTAAACTGTGCTTTGTATCTGCTTATCAGGTAAGATGAATGCTAAAAAGGTATTTGTCGTGATCGATAAGAGCATCCGATGAGTAGCGACCTCTAATAGATGAATTATTCTATAGGAGTGTCCTTAATTTACAATGTGTTGTACTATTCTATCCTACCAGCATCATTTGTTTTTGTTTGCTACTGCTACTACGACGGCATGTGGTGCATGGCATTGAGTATTGACAATGAAAATTGATCGAAGAGCACATTAATTTGTCGTTTCTTTTTTTCTTTTTCCATATATAGATTAACGTTAAACTAAATACCCGTACAATCTTTCATGCAAGCATCTACACGTTTAAAATCATCAACACTCGATCGATCTTTACAGAAAACAAAAGGAGATGTAATTAATCAAAGAAAACAAAAATACATAGAAAACAGTTCATCTTATTCTTCTTTAGGCAAATTTGAGCACATTTGCACTGTTATTTTCTGAAATGGTGCAATATTCACAGAATCGTGTTGATAATATACATGATCTTCAAAACAGGTAAAGGTTTTTTGTATTTTTTTAAAAATATTTCCAGCATAAAATTATCTGAATAGATTAGCTGACTTTGGTAAACATGTAGGTATTCGTGTGCTCGATTTATTCTTTTTACGTGTTGGTAAAGATAAACGTGAGGTACGTCTCACACCAATGCTTGTATTTATTCAAAAAGTTTTTTGGAAGGTAATGGAAAATTAAAAAAAAAAACTAAAATGTTTTTTAGTAATTAAATAATTTTTAGTATTTATTTAATCGTGAAGCCGACAATCTCGAACAACATGCACAAGAAGCAAATGTTTGTATGTATTTAAATATGTGTCATTCATTTAGATTGAATCAATTTTTTATTTAGATTATCTTATTGAACGTGAATGTCTTGTTAATAAATTTATTTCTGTTCCGAATGATAAAAGTATAGAAATAATTGTTACAAGAAAAGAAAAAGTGACGAACATTTTGTTTTTTTTAAGGCAATTTAAATTGTGCTTCATTCGTAGCCGGTATTATTGAAGGTGTCCTATGTTCAAGTGGTTTTACATGTAAAGTTCTCGCTCAGCAAGGACCTCGTGGTACAACTTATATAATTAATTTTGATAAATCAGTTATGGAACGCGAAAGTCGACTTGATAGTAAATGAATAGAAACTATTTAAATCAAAATTTCATTGTCTTTTGTTTTTAACGATCAAATTTATAATTTATATTGAGTCTCGTTTGTTTTCAGATGTATATTAAAAGGTAGATATTAAAAAAAATAGAGATAAGTTATGGCAACAACAATGCTAACATCAACTCCTACTAAAGAAAAGAAAAAAAATTCATCATCAAATAAACAAAATCGATCAAACGTTGCTGGTACACTTAAAGTAATTAACTATTGAAAAATTATTTTATTTATACTAAAGTATATTTTATTTTTTAGCGTAATCCGAAATATGAATTGAAAAAGGATGAACTTATTCAACTATTAGGACGTTTTGAAGCTGAACTTCAAGCTAAGGATATTGCATTAGCAGCACTGAAGGTAAAATGCACAGTATCTCAAAAATAAAACAGGATCACATCCAAAATAGCTTGTGGTTAATTACTTAGTATTTTATAATAAATTCTCATGAGGAAACTACCCGAACGAACAGTTGCTGTATGGATTCACGAAGAAATCTCAGTGAGACTAACAGAAGTCTAAAAAGATTCGTTCTCACAGGTTGTTGGTGCTGAGTTATGACCGGTTTATATTGGACTTTCGACTCATTTGTAGATAATTCCCGAAGAACCAAAACGCAGTATTTCCATTTAAAATTTTGCCAATAGATAGATCTAATCACTGTTTGAATACTCTGAAAGTTTCAACCAAAAAGAATATTCCTACATAGATTTATTGAATTCTCCAATGAACTCGAGTTTTGTGATGCGTCTGTAGCAAAGGTGTATTTTTAGAAAATCAATATCTTTATGAAGAGGCATTTTTTCTTCGGTTGCAACTTTCAGGATATTCTAACAGACGCTAGGCTTATCTATAGGCCAAATTTTAAATCGAAAACCTAGTCAACTGATCATAACTCGGCAGCAAATGTTGAAAATGACGAACTCTTTTAGGCTTTCGCTAATTTCATTGAGTCCTCCTCGTTAACTCAATATGAGCTCAACAATGAGTGTCAGTTAGGATAGTTCCCTCGTCCGTATGTTTTTTTTTACTACGAGCTCAGTAATTAATTGAAAATGACTCAATATTTAAGGAGTGGGTGTTGACCTTCCCGAAAACAGCACTCACATCTACAAATTATTATTTTATTGAGCAAACATAATAGTTATCGAACATTAAATTTTATACTGATAGCTTGATGATTTTTTGCAGATACTTTGTATATAATATTGAACATATCTAACAGAGGAGACTTGTATCAGGGTTGGAATTAATTCAGCTCCAAACAAACACGAACTGATTCCATCTCTAACTTTTACGTTCTTATACTACAATACAAAGTTCATAAATAGCCTTTAAAAACTATCACTACTCATTGCAATATAAAATTTTGCACTCTTCTCCTATCTTAAAATAGAGTCTTGCAGGAACGACTTTTCTCGTGTCTCGTTTTCATAATGCTCTCAAAGTTTCTATTGCAATTTCCTTTTTCGTCTTTGAGAAAAACTATAATTATCAGACACGAGCTTCTATCAATGTCGTACATTGTACAACGTGTGATGACTTTAAATTAAAAGTATCATGGAACGTGCAGTCTAGGAAAATAAATCAATTATTATTCATACGTTGAAATTTATCAACGTTCAATTAAGAGAATTGTTTTCCTCATTAATTGAACAATTGAGAAACGAAAGAAATACTAGCATATTAAAAACACCGATGGAAAAATCAAATTATTCAATAGGAAAAAATTTATATTGCGAAACAATCTGAATAATAGTTCTTTCGACAATGATAACGAAATTACAATAGAATAAATAATGAATGAACTTGTCTCGTTTTTATAATTTTTCTTTTAGGTAATAAGTGATACAAAAGTCTTTGTAAGAATATTGAAATCTATTTCTCAACAATGTAACACCCGATTGAGTTCGACAATTTTTTTTTTGAAACAACAAAGTCCGATAAAGACATAAATAAAATAAAACGATTTTCGGGAATGCTAATTTTTCAATCTCGTTCCCATTCCCGATTCCCACGGGAAACAACACGAGAAAAAAATCATTTCGGCAGGACAAAAACAATCGGTAACGTTCTTTTTTCCTATATATGTACTTGAATTTATTTATAGCATTATTATAGAGTTTAAAGAATTAACATGTCTGATTAATTCTTTATTAGCAATCATTTTTATATGTTCTTATGAAAGCCATAAAGCAATTCCGAATTTAATGATAGTTAGAATCATGAAATTGTCTCATAGCTTAATTTCACCAATTATCAAAGCTTTTGCAGTGACACGAACAAATGCTACTAAATTACTATTGAAACATATTCATGCTAATGGTTTAAAGTTCATAATAATAAGTAAATATGAAAAAGAAAATTTACATGTTGTTCAACAGCACAAGTAAATTGCTTGATATTGAAAGAATACCTAGAAGTGCTAGTCCTTAAAGACTATATATATATATATGTGAACTTTGCCTTTAAAAACAAAAACTTACAAGTGTCCTCTTTCAGATTAAAAAAATATTTGAACAAAGATGGAGCTATACGCATTTCAAATATAGTCATGAATTTTATTGTATCTTGTAGATGGAATAATTAAAATTCTTGAGTTATTAAAATTGTTAATCTTTTCTTAAAACAAAAATTTGATATGTCTCTATATGAATATAGATATATACATTTTAATTTTAAATTATAAGTTAAGTTTTCAATGAAATTTAATCATTATATTTCAATATTCTAGTCAGAAAAAGTGAAATCACTTTTATCAAATGCACGATTTGGTCGTCTTAGTTGTCAAACGGATCCTTATGCTGCATTACTTCGCGATAGTGAACATGTTAAAGAAGATGTACTCAATGAACAAATACCAATGAAAAATGCATATGAAACACAACTTATACAACTTGAAGAACTTATTGTTCAACAAAGAAAACAAGTACATACATTAAAATTTGCCCTTGATGATACACAACAAAGATATGCATTGGTACTATTATAAAAAATATATTTATAAACGAATTTCTATTTTTATGAATAAATTTTTTTATTTTAGTTGGTACAAGAACTTGAAAATGAAAAAAAAGAGAAAGTTCGATTACAAGCATTTCAAAACCAGTTATTAGTTACTCAAGAAGAAAAAGATCAATTACGCAACGAAGTAACTATTTCTAAAAGCTTTTAAAATAATGTATCAAGCAAAAGTAATGATATAAATATCGATCCCTATTTCTTTTTAATAGAAGGATGCTGAACGAAAATCTTCTTTTTTTTTTACTAGAAGATAGAGAATTTTTCAATCGTTTACAACTTGTTTTTATCACACGTCCATAAATGAAATAACACAACAGAAAGAGAAGCAACCTGCACACTTTTCATATAATTCAGAATAATAGAATGAAATATCGATGCTTATTTCTCTTTAATTAACATATGTAGGGACTATTATCTTTTTATCAGCTGAAAGGAAATTTTTTCCAACATCGATTTGTATATAGCTTGATTTAATTATACATTCATAAACAAAGTGATATTAGAAGGAAAAAAAACACACTAGCTCAACCAATCTGAAGTTTACATATTAATTCATCAAATAAATCATCCAAAATGACACTTAGTTATTTTACAAAACAAAATATTCCAAGAAGAACAATTTATAACATACTGAATAAATATTTGAAATATGAACAACTGAAATTTTTACCTAAAAGTGCTCGTCTAGTAAAACTTTCTACTGAAAAACTAAAACAACTTGTAAAATTGTTCATAATCATTTATGGTATTAATCAACGTAAGTTAGCCAAATGTTTCAACATTATTCAATCAACCATCAATCATAACTTAAAAGCTCAAAACAAAAGACTAGAAAAAACTGTGAGAAGTTATATAAAACGATTTCTCGTGACTTTTATGTCATTTTATATAATGAAAAATTTTACACTTTAATGGAAATAACAATGTTGCGACAGAAAGCTGTGCATATCGATATATTTTCAGATAAGATCGATGGGTAGAAGAAATTCGCTACTCTTTTTATCTTTATAGAACAGAAATAAGTGTCCGGTGCTACTTCAGTATAAAACATATTTGATCAGAAACTAGAGCATTTGTTATTTGAATACGAGTACTTTGTCCAGCTCTACTGCTGCAAATCTATAGTATTACTTTACTGGCTCAAATAATCATGTTCATTCAAGAAGTGTTTCTCGTTCGTTTTCTTTCATTTTGTTTATAAACGTGTGATAAAAATAAGTTATATAGGATTTGAAAAATAAAAAATTTCTCCATCTTCTGATAAAAGAAATATATTTCAACACCCTTCTGTCGAAGAGAAAATGCGCGCTGACATTTGTACCATTACTTTTGAATAACACAGTATTTTGTCATAAAATGATATAAATTCAAATCAGATAATATTGGTTGTTTCCGATCGAAAAACTTGGGAAATTAATGAGAACTTGGAGGCAGGAATCTAGTGGTCAGCTCTTTCTGTTTATAATCGCAACCAGGAAAATTCGATTATTGCATTTTAGCTTCGAAGTTCCTACCACTGGCCTGAGTTTTCCGCTCCGAAACGGTATATTTTCGACGAGAATCTGCAGAAAATTCATGGATTCCGATGCTGAAATTATTGACCTAAAAAAAAAGCTAATATTTTTGAAAAAGAAATATTTAGTTAATTAGAATACATGTTATATATTTTATGTTTCTAGCTCGAAAACATAAAATTACATAATCAAGAATTAGAACAGCAATTAGCTCAAGTAATGAAATTACTTGAACATGAACATGAAAGACATAAAAAATTTATTATACTTCTGTTAAATGAACGTAAACTTGAAAATGAACATCATCAAGAACAATTAAAACAATTATCAAATAATCATATCAAGTGAGAAAAAACAAAACAAATCACATTTTCGTTGAAAGTAATCTTTAAAAAACTCTATTTTTTAGTGATGATACAAAACGTGAAACAAGATTTAAAGAATTAGAACTTGAAAATGAACGTAACAAACAAGTTTTAACAGCACGTATCCAACAGTTACAAAGTGAAATTGATTTATTAGTCAAAGAAAAAAAACAACAATCTATAACGAATAGTAATTATTTATAATTTTTCTTTTTGCAAAAAATAATTATATGTATATATTAAAATTAAGGTGTTTCAACATCGGATAGTGATTTGACTGAAACAATTTTCAAACCTCAATCGAAACCACGTCAATTACCATCAACAGTTCCTCAAACTCTACTTCCAACAAATGAACCACCGTCATCACCGTCCAACCCAGAAAAAATATTTGTATCAACAACAACAGGTGGTATTCGCCGTCCAACTATTATTCCAACACCATCATCATCATCATCGTCGTCAAGAAATGCTAATAATCCAATAAAAAAAGGCGGAGTTGTTCCTCTATCAGTTGCGCCATATACACAACAAACATCATCAATGACAAGTTCAACATCATCTATTCCGGAATTACCTTCATCACCAGTACCTACTGTTGCTAAACGTAATGTTATACCTACTCGTTCAATATCAAATGCTTCTCAATCTCCAATGATCTCTAATTTTCGTTCATCACCAAGCAATAGTCAAACATCAACATCATCTATTCCGACTGTTACATCAACAACAGGAAATAATGCTACACGTGGTGGTGGTATCCCTCGTTTAACAAAAAATCCAAATCAAATTGTTAAACCGACAACAACAACTGGTTCAGCGAAACGACCTGGTCAGGTAAATTAATGTTCGTTTCGCTTAACTATTAAAAAAGGGAAGAGAGTTGGCATGCATCGAACCTGAACTGTTCAAGTTTAGCCTTCAGCACAATCATTTTCAATTAATTGTCAAAATAGAGTAGAAACCAAAATAAAAGATTTCAGGATTGCTTATGGTAGATCTATACATATTAGAATAAATGATCTAGAAACTAAAGAAATAATACAGACACTATAAAAGAAAAATCAGAATGTTCAAAAATATTGGAACACGAACTTGATCGAACAAATAAAAAAAAAAGTCTTGTCGTAGAAATTTTTTGTGTTTTTGAAAGAAAAAGAACTTGAGTTTTTATAATAGGACGATGTAGTGATGTTTCCACTCTCAGAATATTTCTAAATTTTCGAAAAAAAGCAAAATTTTAACAGACGTTTGGAAGAGATTTCGACTCTAGTATTCTGTTGTCCGATAAATTTTCGGGTTTTTCTAAGTTTTTTAGTTTTAAGAAGATTTTATTTTTATTTGCATCAGCATTCGTATATAATTTGTGTAAGACAGACTATGCTAACTTACGTCGTATGCTATATACTTTTAAAAATTCCATTTCAGTATATATTTATTCTGGTTTTCAATGAAAAACTTCATATCTAAATTTATTTAACATTTTTCTCAGAACTTGGTTTTCAATCAAAAAATATGAAATTCTTCCTATTCAGTTCAAGACATAACCAACAGAGGTATCCACAGGATGATTTTTTACACTCTATCCTGTCCTGTCTTCGTTCAGTAGACCGAGCAGAGTATCCTGTCTAGTTGACAAACTCACTTGATTGTCGTTTCCTATTGAACTGAAAAGTAAAACTGTTTCCTCACTGTATCATAGAATATTGTTTTATATAAACGTATTCTACAATAAAAGCAACAGGAAGAGCAGCAAAAATTAGTGAAAGAATAATTAAAAATGTCACTGCAACAAAATACAGTAGAACCTTGTTGCTAAATTTAAAAGGTGAATTATTTTTAGAGTATGGATGTGGACGAGAAGAGGACGTATTTGATGTAGCAATAGAATCAAAAGCAGACATTTGGCTCGTATCATCATCCGCATTGAATGAAATAGAAATCATAAATTAATGTTCGCCTATAGTTCGATAAATTACGAGAACAGGAAATACAAATAAAAGNTTTAAATATGATCATCCTCATGGTGAAACAAGAAAAAATATGTATCATAAGAATTTTTTTCTTAACGGCTTCTAGGAGCCGGCCGTAAAGGGTTAAGATTGATGATATAACACTTGAAGCGATCATGAAAGCTTTCCATTCAAATATAATGAAGAGAATGATTTTCTTTTCAACAAGAAAGAAATAATCACATGTGACAAAAAGTAAAAGAAAACTTTGTAAAGAAAAACACCCTTCAGGTAATAAAACAACAAAGATATTATGATTGCGTTGGTTCATGTATGACGAAAACAAAATGTGTGATTCAATGTGTCTCATAACCTAGTTTCAATTTATTCCGAGGAAACCATTATCAATTAATGAAAGAATACTAACTACTTACATCTAGAAAGCTAGTTTACAAATGGTAAAAATCCTATGAAAAGCAGAATGTAAGATTGAATAAGTTGTAAAATTCAGGAAATTTTTTAATAATTGAGGTCGCTGCTTTACTCTATTCCAGAAATACTAAATTTTCTGAGACCAATCACATTCTTTTTCTTGTGCTTTTTGCTGAATGCTGCATAAACTGAATGAAATACTAATGTTTCATGCGAGTTCGAAAAGAGCGATAGATTTCAAGAAAAAATATTACAGTCTCGAAATTTTCAGATTCAGACAGTCCCAAAGAATAAAATGATCAGAAGAAAACTAGTACTATTTTAGATTTTTTTATTATGAGTTTATCGATAAGAACACTTAGAAAATTGTTTCTTTAGCTGTAATGCATTATTAGTGGCTTTTGTAGTCTGCAAAAGAAGAACTCATTAATTCTGAGACATGAGAAAAATTTCGTGGTGCTCCCGAAGTTCATTCAATCTTATGATATCTTTCAATGTTAGAATCCGAAGTTTCTTGAAATTATTTTCAATTCTATAGGCCGACCATCAGCTGTTTCTTACGTTGATATAGTCCTACATAATTACGTATAGCAAAAAAAATTAGAAAAGACACTATCAGTTCCTTGCCGCTTACAGCTAGAAACTGTGCATACGAATATCGATAATACTTGTAGAGCTTTCCCAAATACCAGTGCTTGACGCATCCATAGGTTCTTAGTACCAAAGATATAAATTTTAAATCTTATTTCTAACCTTGGAAATAGCGTCTCTAGAAATAGTTGTGACAAAGTAACTACTGTCTGTTCAAAAAAATGATGGCCGTGAGTATTTTCGGAATAACTCAAGAAAGGAAAGAGTTACAGAGCTGGAGTTTTCACCATTACGTAGGTAAATGAGTACTTTATATATTCACTAAAACATGCTGAAGATCCTTGCATATTCAGGGTTTCGTCATCATCAATCTTTCAAAGAGTTGATTGCATGGTTTTTAAGTTCCATAGGAACCTACATATCTAAACTATGTAAAAGATAGCCCAGAGGCTTCTCTACAAAATGACACAAAAGCCCAACTCTCTAGCTTTTGTAGTTTTCGAATGGCACTCGTCTTCCCAAAATCAATGACATTCGTCTTCTTTAGTATTAGTAATTGTAAAGATTTACAGCAAAATACATGATGAACAACGTTTTACGTTGTAGCAAACTATTATATGAATGATAAACAACAATACCGTTTATGCGTTAGTGAAACCGAAGATATGTTTGTTGACTTTTTCACAAAACTATAATTCACTACTAAAATGTTCTGAGCTAATACTACAAATATCAAAGAACACAATCCTGTCAGAAAAGAAGTAATCAAGTTATTCATATTGACTATCATTACTACTATCATCTTCATGTAAACTAGAATCATATACATCATCATCAGTTTTAACTAATGTTGGTTCAATAGGCTCAATAAAATGATCAGCATTCTTGAATGTAGCTAAGAAGTCAATCTTTCTTGACATATATTAGTGTAATCCATAGAACTGCAAGCAATTATATTGTTTTTTTCTTCATATTTGAAATAGCTTATTTTGACTTTTCTTTCTTTCTGGATTCTCCGTTTCACTTACGCGTAAACGGCATTGTTATTTATCATGCATATAATAGTTTGCTACGACATCAAAACGTTGTTTATCATATATTTTGCTGTGAATTTTTACAATTACTAATACTGAAGAAAACGAATGTTATAGATTTTAGGAAAATGAGAGCCATTCGATACCTACAAAAGCTAGAGAGCTGAGCCTTGTGTCATTTTGTAGAGAAGCCTCCGACCTATCTTTTGCGTACTTTAGATATATAGGTTCCTATAGAACTTGAAAACACTGTAACCAACTCTTTGAAAGATTGCTGATGACAAAACCCTAAATCTGGAAGGATTTTCAACATATTTTAGTGAATATATCGAGTACTCATTTACCTACGTAATAGTGAAAATTCCAGCTCTATAGCTCTTTCCTTTCTTGAGTTATTCCGAAAATACTCATAACCATTCTTTTCTTGGACAAACAATAGTATTCAAGTCAGAATTCTTTATCTTTAACGATACATTTTTGTCTGACAAGCAATTGACATTGTCCTTTAAAAATATCAAAACTGTTATAAACCGTCTTAACAACATTAGATCGTATATCGTCCTTGACATTTACCTATTCTTGACTGTAAAAAAACAAGCATAGATTAATATATCCTATGAAAAGGATTTATTAGCTTCATAAGCTGCTCATCAAATTTTTATAAGCCCTTTTAGAATTTACGATAGTATAATAAACCCTCAGAAATATTATCTTATGTTGCATTTTCATAAATCCTTGATGAGTTTATGAAACTAGCATAAATCCTATAAAGATTTATCGAATTTTGATGAGCGGTTGACGAAGCTAATATTCCCTTTTCGCAAGGCTTATTATTGTAAGATTTCTTTTTTTACAATTTTCTTCTATTCTATTTTCTTTCCCTCAGCTTTTACACATCTATCAAATGGTGAGATTTGTTCAAATTTTGAAAATTAAAAAAGAAAATTATCAAAACTTCCATCAGCTTTATAACTGCATAGAAGTGCAAATCACATTTTTTTAGAAACTTTAGTAGCTACGGTAATTTCGAGCACAAACGTCTGAAATTTCGAAATTTCCGAAATTGTCTTCTTTTATTTGTAAATATAAGTCCTGCTGTCTATATTACCAGACTAGCCTTTGAATATGGCACCTAGCTTTATTAGGTTAGAATTTTTGCATCTAATTGTCAAAAATGAAATTGAAACGTCGTAGAGTATTTCTTGTTTTTTAATCAAAATCTTCTTTAACACATTAAAATTTATTAGTATAAATTTTGACAAACTTTGTTCTCGACTTATTAATGATTTAATATCATAATGAATATTTAGATGAATTAATCTAAAATAGAAAAACCTATTATCGTTTTTATTCCGATATTTATCAATTAAAATGACATATTCTTTCTGCAGAATATTGAATGTTGATGCTTGTGTGTGTTTTAATACACTAACATGCCTTAGGAAGCATTCCTTGTAAAATTTCGACAACCTAACAAAAAGTTCTTCTTATTAGTTATTAATGCAGCATCTAAGTTCCTGTTTTCAAGATATCAAAATACAAAAAACAACATGATGTTCAGTATGAAACATAATTATCATACTGATATATAAATAATATCTGTACTTGTTTGAAAAAATTTGTCATATTTTATTCGAAAACTACATTATATCTGCTCTGTCATGAAATATTAAGTCTCGATAGAATAAAATAACTTATCGATATATGATCTTTTTCAAGATTACTCTAATAAAACTGAACTAAAGTTAAAGTATTCATACTGCATCGATAAGCAAAAAATTAGCATGATTATCTTTATCAAAATTTTAATCATTAATCAACTGAGAAATCTAAACATGTAATTTTAGTTGAATATATTTCGACGTCATATATTCTTTGTAATTGCCTGTATTACAAGAAATCTTTTTTACTCTCAATTGATTAATATGATATTTTCTATAAATCTTAAATCGTTGTTTTTTTCTCGAATATTCTTAAGAAATTTCATTAGAATCTAAAACTAAATTCTTATTTTCTCATACGAATCTATACAATTAGATGAAAATCTATATATGATTAGAAACCTTTTTCAAGAATTCTATATCCGGATGAAAGAATTGACTAAAACTAATTGCACTGATAGCAACATTAAGATGATATTATCTGTAGTCCATACATCATTTGGCATATAATATTACATTTGTCCATGACAATAGAAGAAACAAATGATTACATTTGACTTTTATTAGTTGCTGGCTTATAGAGTAACCTATAATTGCACAGATTACATCATTTGTATAGTTCATTATTTTGCAAGTAACTTGATATTACAAGCGTTTATATACTTCAAAGTTTCATGAATAATTTACTCAGTCTGACAACCAAGGATATCTATCACGACACGACAACAGCAGGCTTTCACCTGTGATGGACATCTCTGCTCGTGACGCAAAATATAAAATGTAATTCATTTGATACATAAAGAAATAATATTTACGCAGTCACTAATGTAACATCTCTTAGTATAACAATGCTTAAGATTATTTCGTATCAGTCAGTCATTGTAATAATCGGTAACCGATCAATAAAAATAACTCGAAAAATAATATGAATGATACTAAGATATAAATAATGCTTTTTCATGAAGATGTTAACTTATATGAAAAATTGTCAAGCAAACATCTAATAAAAAGTCACTGGCTTATAGTCGATCTAACAATTAACGTGTTTTATCTTGAATTTCTATCAGATGATTCAAGAAAGTTTTTTTTTTTTACTTTAAGTATCTTCAGATACAATTATCGACATCATATGTATATTCAAGAATTTTTTCATCTTGTTTATCATGAAAAGAAATACCTTTAACACTTCATCAATCAAAGTTATTTTTGACTGTATGAAAAGACGAGCACAAAAAGTTTTCAATACGCCACTACTAGTTTCATATAATATTGTGCATTTTACGGTCTACTGAAGTCGATATCGGTATATTTACTTTTGTTTCGTCAAGTAAACGTCAAGAATGTGATTATATTTGAATAAAGGAAGAAAGTCAGAAGAAAAAAAAACCTTGTAATTACGCATATCGTTTGTTCGTTGGTTTTTTGTAAAAAACAGAAAAACTAAAAGAAATATATTTTATATCTTTTCATCGTTTTCTCCTTTGAATCATTACGTTTCCCTTTGTTTCTTAATTAAAACATATTCACCATTGATTTCAATACAATTTAACATTCAAGGTTTAACAACAAGAGTCAAGATGATTCAATTTTGTTAGTCATATCTTTTCGATGAAATATAGTACAATCAAAATAACATTTCTCATAAGACATTTCAGAATAAAATCAATGTTTATTTTAACACATATTTTAAGCAAAAAATAAGTAACTAAATGGCTTCTTCCGTTCAGTTACTTATGATGCATTATTCGTTCATAAAATCTTTCTTCTTTCTTAGTTTCTCATGAGAAAAAGGAAGTATTCGTTTCGATTAATCCAAATCAGATTTGTCACATCAAAGGCATCTGACTTTTTTTTTTGACCAGTATTGACGCGTGCACATGCCGATGCTCATTTGTATATTCCAACAATTAATAATAGCAAAAACAGACTGACAGAGAAAAGACAAAGTCCATCCTCGCCGCACATGCAAACCAAACTTTCTCATAGTATTATATTGACCGACACCTTTTTTTCTTTTGGAAAAGACAAAATGCCGACAAAACACATATATAACTTATTTTTTTGTCGATAATAGCCAGGTAAATATCTGTTTATGTGGATGACTGATCAGAGTCAAGTGTACTTAAGTTCCACATGATGTGCGAAAAGAAAATTAAAATGAATAAAATAAAATAAAATATGCATAATCAATTGAGTTGACCGCACATACCGCTATACACTTTGGTGTTGTGTGAGACAATACAGTGTGTGCATAATCGAATAGCAATAATCATAGGGTCACTTGTTTTTGTGAGCATTTGTGGTCTGTCGTCTGTATCTACTATCAATCATCATGCTCTTTTGTTGATCTCGATTACAATGAATAGAAATGAAGGTAAAGTGGCTAAGCTCACCTTCTCGCTCACTTGATTGTCTTTCTCTTTTTCTTTTTTTCTCTTGTGATGAGATCATCAAAACGCGACAATGCATACCGGACGATAATTTTTCTTGACTAAACACATATATTCACATACAATACAAATGCATAAATACGAGAATTAGAATACATGCTCATCTTTTCTTTACAATTTATGTATAGATGAATGTATTTAAACATGATATTGTTTTATCTCGATGCACAACAAAACAGTAAATTAAGAAGATGAAGAAAAAAAAGATTGACGAGAATCAGAGTACGTGTGAATAGATCAGTAAAGGCAAGTGCTTATTGCAAGTAGTGTAAGTGCTAAATTCCATTAATTCAAAGTGTGTGTGAAAAACGATCAACACTAAATAAACGATTAAATGATAAACTTAAGTCAAAAAAAAAATGAAAAATTAACTGTTTTCTTGCTCCTTTTTTAATATTAGACAAACTAGTTGATACTTAGTTAAAGTCAAGAACTCTTGAAAGAAAAACAAAACAGAGATTTACATTGATGCAATGTCTATTTCCAGTTTGTTCGTCTATCTATTGAAATACTGCATTGATCCGGAACACGTAATTCGTACGAATAGAATTTGTATATGTGGAACAAATGAAGAGAATGAATGTAAAACAGCTCAACAAAAAAAAAAAAAAAAAAAATATATATATATGCCGCTTGCCAATGGTTCTTTGTTCTTCTTATATTTTTTTTCAACGCATACATACATATACACCCACTGAACAAACGAACTATGTCAAAGCAAAAGATTGATGGGTTGTGGAAATTCTCTAGAGAGCACAAACGGTGCCGCCGAGCAGCAAGACTGAAGACAGAAGTTTTTTTTATTGCTTTTATAGTTGCGCTTTGCATTAAAATGAGCATGAAGAGAAAAAAAAAAGAGATTGTTTGACTTTTTTAAATGACTAAAACAAAAAAAAATTGATGTTCAATTGATATATCGATTTACCACATGTCAAGAAAGTAGAATTCACTGAAGAGAAAAGAAACAATAGAGAAAGTTTTCAATGTGTTATAGAATTATTCTTTTGTTACGCCTAGATGTCAAAAAAAAGAGAATTATTATCAAATGTCACACACAGATCATCTTCTTGTTGTCCTGATTCACAGAATAATAATAATCATGAAAACTACAGTTAGATGTGTTCATTATATTCCGACAAATCTATTTTTTTTAACGATCGACAAGAGTAATATTTTACTTCTTCTGTTTTTTTTTTGTTTTATTCAATGTCTCTCTTCTTTTTTTTGACATGCCACATGTCACATAGTCGTCTACCAATCAATCTTCGTCTGAATTTTGATTGGATGTGACACGCCTTTCTCCTGCCGATGGCAACGTCATTGCTGCTTTCTTCTCCACCCTTTTCCGTCTAAGTGCCAGTTCATTTCATCATGATTCTACCAGAAACACAAGCCCTTCAGTCCAAGTGTGAGCCGAGGCGTTAATTATTATCTCTTGTTCACCCAGCAACCCGGTTTTTCTTGCATATAAGAGACTTTATAGTAGCGAAAAAAAAAACAGAATAAGAAAAAAATTTCCAGTAAGACATCACTGAATTGAGCAACTTCCTTTTTTTTCTCTTTATTTTGCATGCGACATACTGGCTGTAATACGTTTTTATCTCGTCCAATCTGGAACCTGCGAACGCTTTCTTTCTTTGTATATCTCGTTGTCGACAATACTCGTCAAGACTCGGCTTTTTGCTTGTTCTCACACGCATACACGCATAATCGCCTACCAACATATAAGCAAAAGAAGAAAATCCTTTTTTTTTCCTCTTCTCCTATAACGAGAAAGAGAGACCGAGAGAGAAAAATAAAGAGAGAAAGAGCAACTCGCTTGCTGACTGGTTGAGAGTAACCGTTCACATTAAGAGTAATTACAAGTGTTCGCTCGGTTCGTCGTTAGTTTTCTCTCTTTCTGTGAGCAACAGTCTCTGTTTTTCTCTTTTCTTTTTTTTTTCTCGATTTTTTTCTCTTGTGTATAGAAAGAAGAGAAAGTGCAAAAAGGTGAGACGTTTGTGCGTACGGATAAAGATTGACATCCAGAAATCTATCAAATCACACACATCGATCACGTCACATATTCCAATTAAATTCGACAGATATAAGCCGTATTCATCACACGCTACGATTCGGCAAACAAGACACATAAACATACAAGACAATCAAGATACTTTGAAATAGATAGAAAGAAAAAAGAAAATTAACTAGCTTGTCTTTTTTAATGGATGATGATCCTCATCCATCTATCTATCTATCTCAAACTGTCTTTTTAACTAACTGAAAAATAAATTAGTCATGTCGTCTTAAACTCGTCAATTTCAATAGACCAAATGGCTGCTCAAAGAGTAATTTGTGTGATGTCATTTTTGACAATCGATCAATGATGAAATTCATTTATATTTAGTTACTTACCGATGCAAATGGACCTTATTATGGAAATGGTAGCAGTGGAGATTTTTCGACGACGAATGGTCCCAATGGTAATAACAATATGTATCCACCAACATTCACAAGTGAAACATCCTCATCATCACCAGTTCTTCATCATTTACAAACTCTTCTTGGACCTGTTATCGAATCTCCGTCAACTACAAATCATTCGAACAGTGTGAATGCCGATAATCAAATCAAACAACACAAAGATATGATCTACAGGTAACTGAAAGAGAGAAAAAAAAAGAAAGAAGTATGTATATATATATATATATGTTCTTTTCTTGTTTTGACGCATCTTCCATTTCTATTCTTTAAAAAAAAATCAATTGAGAGAAAAGTATACGAATTGATTTTTCTTTTTGCTTTATTTCTTGACAACTTATCCTTTTTGCTTTGCTGTACATATTTATTCTGTCGAGTAATGTCAAGATTGATAGATTACTTCGTTATTACTATTTTGTCTTATTAATCGAAAGAGAAGATGAACAGCTTTTATTTCATCTGTTCATTGATGATAATGATGAGAAAGTCGTTGGGTCGAATCACCTTCGAGCACATTGTATATTTCTCTTTTTTATTTCTTTTTTTGTTTCAATGCGGCCTTTCTTGTGCATACAATCATAGATACACATACACAGCTGTAATTTCGAAACCGATCATTATCTTCACGCTTCGCGTGCTTTTATTCTCGTGCTCTGACTTTTCTTTCTTTTGTATTGATTGACGAATGTTTACTTTTTTTTTTCTTGATCTACAAGTATATCTGTTAAAAGCCATTAGTTGTCAATAAAAAAACAAAAGCAATTAAAGTAGCTTGTAAACATCTAGAAAATGTAACAAAGCACCAACAACAAAAAAAAAAAAGAAAGAAAGACCTCGACACATTGGAATAAAAGAGGCGTACATAGATTCTTGGCACTTTTGTTTCTCTGTTAATCATCTTGTTCGCTTCGGCTCGCCTATCTTTCTAATCACTCGGTTGGTTGCTATCTCTTCGTCAATACTGTTATTGTACTAGTGATGATGGTGGATGGCCTTTGTGTGTGCGTCAGTGCATACCACTGACTAACTAATAATCGTCGGAAAGGCAAAACGAGTATGGAAAGAAGAAGAAAAAAAGAAAAAATTGCAAACATACAATCGAGATCTTTTTGCTCTGTCTATTCCTAACCTTATCGTCTCATTGGGTATTCTTTTCTTCTTTGTTTTTCCTCTTCCACAGTTACACGATGAGTGTGTGTGTGTGTTCTTACTTGCTTGCAATTTTTTTTCTCTCGATTCTCGCATGCGTATGACAGTGATTGATGATCATTACGCCTGCTGCTCCTTCATCGGTTGCTGAAATTATACCAAAGTACTGATTACGATTATGACCTCATAGATATCGATTTTTATTGGTTCTTTCTTCGTTTTTTTTTATATTCTTCTTTTCACCATCATTATTATTCAAACCGTAAATCGATATGACTGTAATCGAAATACGAAGGTATCAAAAATCTTTCCCTTTAATTTTCAAATATAAAAAGATTGCTTGAAGCAAAAGAAAAAAGAAAGAGAGAGAGAGAGATCGATTTCTCTAATACTTCATCATAATTATAGTTTAACGATGAAAAAGATAAGAAGAGAATTTTATTTTATTTTATTTTGTTTTATTTAGTCATCCATTATTTCCTTTATTGGCATTAATCTTTGAAAAATGTGAATTAGCAACTTGTACTCCAAGAGATTCTGGTGGACCAGGAGATGTGTGTTCATCAGAATCATTTAATGATGATATTACTGAATTTGCTAAACAGGTAATATTCTAATTGTATATGTCTTATCAGCAAGTCATATTCAAGTAAAAGAGACTAAAACCAAAAGAATTAAATTGAAGTGCATTATCGAGCTACTGTATATTTATGTGTGTTATCACAAGATGAACATTTGATAAGCCACTTGAACAAGAAAATAAATGAAAAATATATATTGACGATTATGACCTCCTCCTCTCGTTTCTGTCAGATTGATACTTGAATGAACAAACTATGATAAGATCTAGCAAATAGACAGAAGGAACAACACGACAAGAGAATAAAAATATAAATTCACGTCATACATTTGCAGATGTTGCCAATTGGATTTACTCAATAAAGACTTATCTTTTAAGAGTTTAAAAAAAGAATGTCATGCTGTGATTTGAACAATATTGTTTCATGTATTCAAGTTGACACAAAGTAGAGGTGTTGAGTACTTATGTCAAATAGTAAAAAAAAAAGAAGAAAATTTTTTCATCAACTAATTTCATTGAAATGAAAATGCGATTAGATTTTTTTTCAAAGACATTCTTTGTCTACATGCATATATATATATGTATGTATATGCTATTACTAATGGTTGTAAGCACATGCTGTTTATTAGCTAGATCTTATTTAAGATAAAGAAATGTGTGTGCTGTGATGATCCCAAGAGCAAATCAGCTCATCATCATCTTATCAAAAAAGCGAAAGAAAAGAACAAGTTAGCTTCTTTATTTTTGTTGTATGGTGTAAATGAGAAAAAGCTTCGGGGTATCATTAAAATGTCATTAGCTTTTCATCTGAAAAAGACACAAGAGATGAGAGGTCAAACTAAGACTTATCATTATATTCACACAAAAATGGAATGAACACATTTTTTTCTCTTTCGTAATGTGCGGAAATACTTTGTTTTCAAAGCACCTGCTGTTCTTTTTTGCTTGATGATCAATAAATTTTCAATGGATTTCCGTTATAAATTGTCTTTCTTTCTTTTCTTTTCTAGCTACAAAAAGACCAAAACTATATAACGACAAATCCTGAATTAGACAATGTGGTAAATAATTCATTTTAATATTGAATTATATTTAATTTAAAATTATGTTTCTTTTTTTTTTTTTTTTGTAAGATGATTCAAGCAATACAAGTATTACGGTTTCATCTTCTTGAATTAGAAAAAGTCAGAATCATTATTAAACTATATGAAAAGAATAAATGTTTTCTTTTTGTTTTTTAGGTTCATGAATTATGCGATAATTTTACACATCGTTATATCACATGTTTAAAAGGCAAATTACCAATGGATTTAGTAATCGATGAACGTGATTCAAATGTTTCATCATCGAAATCAGGTGATGATGATGATCAAGATGATGATCAATCAAGTCCTCAACCGCCATCAGGATTTCCGCCACAACCACCTACAAGTTCATCACGTTCATCATCTTATAATCAGCATAGTCCAGATGGTTCAATAACACCATTTACTCATCAACAAAAATCAGTAATAATTTATAATTCAGTATTATTAATAATCAAAAAATATATTTTTTTTTAATTTTAGCTTCGATCATCATCCCAATTAACACCATTTGCTTCATCTCATCATGTTGGACATCCTCATCATCATCTTCAACCACCACCACCAGCAGCACATTTTCAACAGCCACAACTTGTGCCACCGCCTCCTCCACCTCCACATCCATCATATTCAAATCATCTTGTTGCTCACCATCCATCACTTTTAAATCATCAACAACATTTTCATCATTCAATTCACAATGATGATACACAATCGACACATTCTTCGTCAGATACAAATACTCCAAATCCAAATCAACCAACCATGATTAATATGACAAATACCAATAATGGTTATCATGGCTTGCATGACAATAATAGTGAAACGGGTATGTTTTTCTAATTGGTCTTTTCATTTTCTAATAGGAAAAGTCTTTGACATTTCATTACTATTACTACTAACTGCATACACACTCAAGGGAACAAATAATATAAATAATTGCGAATAAAAAAAAAAACATTATCAATCTGTCTACATGTTCAATTTTATTCTTGTTCCCAAACGAATTTGATTGAATGATAATGTTTGCATGACTTTAAAATTTTTCTTCTCGTAGGAGTGATCTCCGATTTCATACACTATTAAAAGTTAACATTCATCTTTCTATATGTTAATCATATTTGAATACTTTTTTTTTTCTTTCTCAAATCGACTGTCAAGGCACATTACTATGTATGGGTGTGTCTTGTCAATCAATCATAATTGAACATAAAAAATGAATATGTTTTAAGTAGATTGAAATTCACCTTGTTTTATTCTTTAATTCAGGTGACAATTTGGATAACAGTGGTTCAGGTGGTGAAGATGATCTTGATGATAATGCAAAAAAACGTCAAAAAAAACGTGGAATTTTTCCTAAAGTAGCTACAAATATTATGCGAGCATGGTTATTTCAACATTTAACTGTAAGTTAATATATATGACATCAATCTTAGAATTGCATTTTTTGTTTCATTAGCATCCATATCCGTCCGAAGAACAAAAAAAACAATTAGCACAAGATACTGGTCTAACAATTTTACAAGGTAAATTGTATATATAATTTTTTAATTATATTTCTAATATCATTTCTTTTCTTTATTTAGTTAATAATTGGTAAGTTAACCATATTTCATTCTTATTGGTTAAATTTTAATAGAATTTTTAACCAATTAAAAATAAATACATATATATATAATATAAGATGTTTATTCTCAATTTGGGACTTGTTGCCATTTGCCGGTATGCTCTTTTTTGTCAGTTTGTTATTGCTATATGTCGGCGATAATAATGATCAAACCTATATATATATATATATCTTTTTGACATATAATCAACATAAAGCAATAGTACGGTCAATTAATAAAATAAACAATCCGTTCATTGATACTACCGTATCTGACTATAGCGTGCAAATAGAAAATTAGAAAAAAACCTTCTAGTTTAATAGACAGCCCATTTGAACTGTCAAAGAAGAACGTTTTCGTGACGATCTGTTTGATACAATGAAGGTGATTATTATTATCTATATACACGCGAATCTAGATCAAAAAGAATCTATTGCATGAATGTTGATGACAGTAATGCGTGTAATAGTCATTCAATAAATAGATCACGTTCGAACTATTCTTTTGTGTTTTGTGTTTGTTTGTCTGTCTGTAGTTTTTTCTTTTTTTTTTATATGAAAGATTCGAGAAAAACATCTGGCAGGATGTTGATGACAAGAATCGATCGTCACCATCGTTAAAATCACATTAAGAGAACGAGGAGGAGAAACTAAAGTTATACATTAGGTTGCCTTGTTTGTATATATATATATATCTTGAAGGAGAAGATCGTTACTGTATCGCTTTTTGCACAAGATGGACATCATTTATCATTGCTGAGATATCTTTATATTGTAAACAAATCTGTCTATCTTCTTTTCCTGCTGACAGGTTTTTCGAGGTCATATATGTTCTTATCATCCAAAAAAAAAAAGGTTAAATTTACTTGAATAATCAAATTTTTATTGATAAATGTAACGGAAAAACATCACAAGGAAAGAAACAGATGATAATTAACTTCTGCACAATAAAATAAACATGTTCAATTAACTTAAAACGATATGCGCGCATCGTCATTAAACAAAGAGATATTGTTATATTGTTTAAACTCCTATGTATTTTTTTTTATCTTTATAAAGGTTTATCAATGCCAGACGTCGAATTGTTCAACCAATGATTGATCAATCTAATCGTGCTGGTAAGTTTTACATAAATGGTAACGATAATATAAATGAAGAAAATCAATTATGTATACCGTCAATGGTATCCTCTCGTACTACTGTGACAAAACGATATAATAAGCGACAGGAAAAATCTCGAGAATTATTATTCAATGAAAAAAAATTACACCGTCGAACAAATCCTGTTAAAACACCGTCAGTTGTTCCTCAACAATTATCCCCTTCATATTTACTGAAAGGCAAGAGTGTATAACGCTCTAACATTATCTTACATCTAATGCTTCCTTCTACATTGATAAATTTTACATAATATTAAAAACATAAAATATATATTTATATAAATATATGTTCCTTTTGTTTTTCCAGCTCATGCTCAACAAGGTAGAATTCCTACTTATGCATCAATGTGTACGTGTGTGTGTTTAATTGCTCATTTTTTTTCTTCTGCTGCTTTTTTTTTCTAAATGCCTTGTATATATCCGATGAGTACGTTTTATTCTTGCTTGACAATTAATTATTCTTGGTTAGATTTGAATTGATAAAAATGTCGTATGACATATCGATAGTTGAAACTAGATTGATTTGTGAAAGAACTACTAAAGAAAAAGAACAATCAATTTAATTCATAAAGACACTTGAGCAATTGTTCCTCTTCATTCTTCTTTTTTTTTCTCCTTTTGCTGTCAAAGTTAATTATTTGCACGAATGCGTGAAATAATACAGATGATGAAAAATGGTAGAAATTAAAATTTTATATTCATTTTTTTATGTTTTTTAGCCACTATACCCTCTGAATTTACCGATTGTTTTGGTCCATATTCTCCTGATGCAGCTGCAGCTGCTGCTATGCATTATCAATTTAGTGGAGGTTATCCAACAGCACCGCATGGTAAGATAAAACTTAAAAATTTGAATTTCCTTTTTTTCCTTAGATACTTATTTTTAAGATATCTTTGGATCTTATGCTCAAATGTCACAATTTCGAAATCCAATGATGATGATGTATCCAGGTAGTTATCCTGTATCATCAAGTCCAACTAGTATGATAGATCCAATGAATCATCATCATCATCAGCAACAAGAATCATCAGCGGTTACCAGTGGAGCTTCTTAGACAACAAAACAAAACAAAACAGACAAATGATATTACTTTCAAATTCGAATGTTTTATTATCTCTCTTTCTCTCTCTCTCTTCTCTCATTATATTTCTTTATAACCGGTGTTCGTATTTCTATTCTACTTCATTTCTTTGAATTTTGATGTCGTCATTTGTGCGCATTTATTATTGCTTTTTTCGTCTATTCTCCTCTCTCTCTCTTCATCTTCGATGCGTTCAGCAACTAAAAGAAAATTAAGGTGACATACCAAAGTCACTGATCATCAATTCTTTATGTTACATGTAAATCTTTGCAAATCTAGCAAAAGAATTGTAATTATTGAGCGTTTCATTTTGTTTTGTGTCTTGCGTAATCTATAAAATTGTCTTCTTCTTCTTCTTCTCTTCTGTGCTCTTGCTACGCATCGATCATTCGACGTTCGAATTTTTCATTACTCTTTTTTTTGTCGTCTTGTGTTTTTCTCTCAATGTCCATGACACATATTGTTTTTCTTTTTTCTAAATAAGAAAGAGCGAACAAAAAAATTATTACGGTTAAATTAAAAAATTCAAAGATGGTTTAATTATTATTGTCTTAATATTTCTATTTGCATATTGTATTTCGAAAATCAAAACTTAAACAACTGTTTGATTGATTAGTTTACTATGTTATAAAAAAAAGAAAAATTATAATCTTAAATCCTTCTCGCCGTTTCAGAACACCCAATTTTAGTCAAATTCATCAATTTTTGTGATATATGACTCATTAGATAGAGCAAAGTGTGTACTTCCGAATGCACTATAGTTTTTTTTATTTCATATTAAGATTCAAGGATATTACAGAGGTTTTACTGAACTCACCTACAAGAAAAATTAACTTTTTTCTAAAAACTTGACTGTTGTTGATATCTTGGTGGATGTAGTTATGTCGATATGAAAACAGAAAAAAATTATCTTTTACATCTTCAAGTATGTTCATTTGATTCGTTCTAATTAGTGAACTATGAAAAATTACTCAAAGTTCCATTTCATATCAGCTTATGGAGGAAAAAGTCTTGTATTAGAGTGTTGAAACTTATTTTTCGTTATTCTCAAAATCCATTTTTTCAAGTATACTGTTTACACGGGCAAACCTTTCGTATTAATGACTCAATATAAAAGTGGTATCTTTTTTTTCCATTACACAGTAGACAGTTAGGGTTAGGTCGCAATAGAGCCTAATTTTTGAAATTCTCTTTTGCTGAAATAAAAAACTTAGATCTTTGATTTAATTTAAGAATATTTTTGACCACAAATTGGAGATTTTTTTGAAAAAGCTTTTTGAATAAAAAAAACTAGAGAGAACTTCAAAAATTAGGCTCTATTACGATCTAGTCCTACATCTACTCTATAAATTAAAAACCACCCCGACATGTTTGCTCGCATCCTCATTTTGAAAACCTTGCCCGCGTGAAGGATACCCTATGAACAATGAATCGACTATAACTCATGCGTAGCTTGGAAATTTGAGGAGATATTTTACGCACAATCTATTCTAGCTAAGACGAACTTTCTCTAAAATTTTGGTTAAAACTGGATGAACAATAAACGAGTTTAGTTCTGAGGGGGGGAGGGCTCCGTTAAGACAAAAAATAAATAAGACTACAGTTGGTAACAAAAATCTTAATCTCGAATTTATCAGCTATCAATTAGCTTTTAAAAAAAATTTTATTTTTTTAAGTTACACGTTTTTATTTCATTTGTTTTCGAGCATTGTTAATTAATCTGTAATAATAAAAACAAATGAGCAAAAACAAACTCCGATCGATTGACAAACAAAAATCATTAATATTCTTTCGATTTTAAAGTATTTTCAAAGTCTAGTGACTACATACATATTTTATAGTTTTACTTTAAAAAGAGATTACAGTTTCTTTAAATATAACACTATTCAATTTGATAAATTAGAAAATAGGATAGAAACCTGATTCTGATGCAATATTTAAGACTTCCACCGACGCTCAAAAAGTTGTTAGTAGAATCTCTGTGGGATCAGAATGAGAAACACGATGTAGATAGTTTGTTTTTTACTATCTACTTTGAGACACATGTCATCACCATCTTTTTACGTAATCCTCCAGAAATGCAATAAGGAAATAGTTCATATACTAGAACAAAACTTTGTTGACATATGACTTTTGGCCATGTATTAACAACCTCTATGACGAAAAGGGAGATATTGTTAAGGTGTCATCACGATCTGCGATGGAAGAGGAGGGAAGAAAAAGGTTCACATTTCTATCGTATACAATTCAAAATTCCTTGCAAATCATGATTCACAAAATCGATCTTGAGTCAGGTACATTTGAATAGCATGAAATTTTCAGCTTTATACTATAATTTTTTTAAAGAGATATTTATGAAACCAGGGTCGAAAATAGATCATTTAGCAACTCGAAGTTTTCTGTGTGCCTTCATTTTATATATTTGAATTTTTTATTTGAAGGAGCATCTCAGACTGCAGTGCTTGACACAGTCCTTCATTTTAAAGTTTTAATTTCCATGAAAAGAAGAATTATGGCAAGTTTAATAACTTGAAAGACTCTTAACAAGTAGTCATCTACTTATAGAAGTATGTTTTTTATATAATAATAAAGAAGCTGGATTCAAAAAATGAACTCTGTTAAACACTGCAGCTTCAAATGTTCTTTGAAACCCAACAAAAGCTATTGACTACAGTGTAGCTTCCTTTAGAAGTCTGGGATACAAGATCAGAAAAAACGAACAACATTTATCGTTTTTTTCTAAAAAAGACATTTTTTTCAAGCCGAAGGCAATGGAAGCCATCGAAAATTTTAGACAACAATGACGTAACAAATAAAAAATCGCATTGTCGATGAAAGATCCAACCTTAAGCTACTGCGTCATGCATTTATCTTAATTTCGATAAATCTGACGGAAATGAACTTTTCTTTTGTAATTAGAGCTTAAGAAAAACAAGAAAACATTGTTTACATAAATTTAATAAATTTTTATGATTTTTAAATGTATCTAATTGACATAAAAAATAATTCAAAATTTTTCTCTTGCACAATTTTTCAAGTAAACAATCTCAGGATATTGATAGAAAATGTCGAGAAATTTTTAATGCTACATTTGATAGTTTATTTCGTGTAATTTGTCTTGACAGGTTAGTAATTACAATCACACAGTTTGATATTTCGTTCAATAAAGTGAACATAAATCAATCGCAGTCGATATACGAAACTCGATATACAATTTCAATTCAATTTTATTATCTTTTATTAGAAGAAACAAAGTAAAATGAATCAATTATCGTTTTTGTGTTCCTTTTTCAATACAAAGTAATAAAAGATCGACTTAACTGAACTTCAATTAACAGAAATAATTCATCATTGAGATATTTTTTCATCAAGATTACATTTTCGATTGCTTATTTTAAATAGTTTCTCAGTATATAAGATATCAAAGTTTCTTCACTATAGAACAGTAATAACTCTAAGGATTAATTCACAACTCTTGTTTTAGTCTTTTCTAATCATTTAAATAAGTCAATATAACACATGTTTTGACTATGTATCGTTTCTTGCAACTGTTGGTAAAACAATATCAACAATAGAATGCAAGAGAGCAAACTGTTAGCACAATATCTGCAGAAGTGAAATGTGACACACAATGTAGTTGATCTTGTTAATCACAGGAAGATTGCTTTATTCTATCTATTTTGGAACACATGTCTTTATCATCTTTTTATTTAATCCTCCAGAAATGCAGTAAGGAGATAGTTCATATATTAGAACGAGACTTTATTGAAGTACGGCTTTTGATCGTATATGAACAACTTTTGTGACGAAAAGAAGGACATTGCTAAGACGACTGTCACGGTCTGAACGGGGGTGAGGGGAATGAGTCTGAATTTCTGCCCTATATACCTCAACAGTCCTTTTAGATCGTGTTTCACAGCAGTTATGTATTAAATGTTTATATGGATTTAAGATTAACTTATCATATTTCGCATCATGAAACTTACAACTAGTTCTTTATTAAATAAAGAAGTTCTTATACAACGATGACAACAGGTACAGTTGCAAAACATCGAAAATGAAAATGATGAAGAGCAAAATATCGAAGAAAAAACGTCAAAAAGAAAGCATAAAACCGTCAAAACGTTAAAAAAAGGAAAAGGTCAAAAACTGAAATGCCGAAAATATTTGATATTGAGTGAGGATGTTAGAAATTTTTCAATACTGCATGTTCTATCCGTCTGCTCTGTCAAATGGAAGAAAGTATAAATTTTTGAATTGTTGTCCAGTGCAAGAATAATACAAGGATGTTGATGTGGGTGCGGGAAAGGAAAAATGATAGCCATTTTCGCAGTCACATCCAAACCACTATTCGTACTCAAATCCAGATTCACACTCACATGCCCTCCCACACCCACGTCCTCATATATTTTTTTTGCAGTACATATTATAGATTTTTGACATTTTGCAGCTTGACGTTTTTTTTATTAATGGTTTTCCTCTTCGAAATTTTACCTTATTGACATTTTGATTTTCGATGTTTTATCATCTAGCCATGACAACATCATCTTCATAGCCGCACACATGTAAGTTTTCAAGAACTTATGTATTTAGTTTGACAACATGTGTGTGAAAAACTAGTTAAAGTTTATTTTGATTTTTAATTTTAAAAATTATGAAAAATATTTTTTTGCTTATTCAATGGTAATTGAAGTAGTTTCCTTTTTGAATCTGAATGCATGGGATCTCTATACGAAGTCGATGAGTATATTTCAAAATTTTATTTTCATAAACATTTAATTTGCAGTTTATGTAAAGTGTCAAATTTTACAAAAGATATGTAATCACTTGAAACATTTTAGATAGTTTTCAACATACATCACATAAATATGATTCACTTGTAATAAATTATTTTTGTAAAATATTTAATGATTTATTTGTAATCATAATTGAAACACTAAAAACTATTTACGATAAAAATTTGTTTTATTATT